CTTCATATTCTGATACTTTATTAATAAAAAATAAAATTTAGGGAGAAAAATATCTAGATTTCTGTGTATTTTACTTCAATATACTAAATACTAGTTAGTTACAAAGAATATGACTGCTGAAGTTAAAAGTTCAGATATTAGCTTTAAAAAGAGACCAAGCTTGTGAATTTACTCTAAAGGGTTCAAAAGCTGTACTTCATTTAATTTGTGTGTACTTTTTAAGGTATTTTATGATATTTTATGCCTGAAGGTTAACTGGTACAGATGACAACAATAATATAAAACGTCCAATTCAAATGAAAGGTAAAAACATAAACGTTAACTTTTGTTAAATGTATGGTATATACAGTATGTAAAACATACATAATTGCGTCGTCTGAGTCAGCAGCATTAGTATTTACTGTATATTTTCTTTTTCGCAAATATGTTTTAATATGTTTTGGTTATTTTGTCAATTACAGGACCACAATGTAAACAGTATTGTATAAAAGTAACTCAACGTGATACTTGAGTAAAAGTTCAAGTCTCCTCTAAGAATATTACTTGAGTGAAAGTCTTAAAGTATCTAAAATATTTTGTACTTAAGCATCAAAAGTAAATTTCTGACATAAAATGTACTTAAGTATTAAAAGTAAAAGTACTGAGTAAAATGAGTGGCTTGACTTCCCAAAATTACATTTATTGGGAGTTGATAACCTCAAAAATGTTTTTCTTAAGGTCAACATGGCTATATTGTCATATAAAAATGTTAATGGTAGAAAAATTAGGATGCACTACACCTGCTACATACAGTATATCTGCTGTGTTCTGCTGGAGTGTGACATAATTTGTGTTATTTGCAGCTGTGATGGGTTGTGTTGTGTACAAACTAATACAGCATCAGAATAATATATATTTATACTTCTCATCCAACCACAGCTAAATTCACTTTGTCCAGGAGGATAATATTCTTTAACAAGCTGTAATAAAACAGGAGTAACAACTTTCTGCTTCTTACCTTTTTAAACAAATGTAATAAGTAGAAAGTACAGATAACTGTGTAAAAATGTAAGAAGTAGAAGTAAAAAGTACGCTGAAAAATAATTACTCAAGTAAAGTGCAGATACCCAAAAATTCTACTTAAGTACAGTAAAGTAGTAGTTGTACTTAGTTACTTTAGAACTCTGCAGAATTGACTGAAGGAGACGTGGCTGGAGGCGTAAAGATTGATCAAGTCAAAACAGAACAAACAAACAACACAAATGGAGTCAAACCAACAATAAACCAGTAGAGTCAGACAGATCCTGACGTTCCTTCAGTGGAACTGTTTCAAATTCAATTCAATTCAAATTCAAAAATACTTTATTGATCCCTGAGGGAAATTAGGTGTTGTTGTAACTCGTTTAACTAAAGAATTATTGTAGATGCTGATGGCTGTGGGCAGCAAAGATCTTCTGTAGCGTCTGGATTACAGCGAAGTTGAAGAAGCCTCCGACTGAAGACACTTTGTCTTTCTATGACAGTCTGATGAAGAGGATGGTCAGGGTTTCATTTGATCATGAGGATTTATCAGCACGATTCAGACTTTATTTAGAAAAACTAAATTCAACACTCAACTACAGTGGAGGAAATAAGTATTTGATCACTTGCTGATTTTGCAGGTTTGCCCACTTACAAATACATGAACAGTGTATCATTTTAAGGGTAAGCTTAAAATGACCGGTGGTGCCGGTGCGTGGCAGCCCCACCTCTGTCAGTCTGCCCCAGGGCAGTTGTGGCTACAATGTAGCTTGCTTATTTATTTATTTATTTATTTATTCATTCATTCATTCATTCATTCATTCATTCATTCATTATTCACCGTTCTTTTACCAGTCAAGTCCCTTTGAGACCTCAGATCTCTTTTTCAAGTGCAGCCTGGACCTGAAGGCAACCTATTGTACATGTTTGTAGTGGTGGGGAAACCAGAGTACCTGGAGAAAACCCACACAAACACAAGGAGAACATGCAAACTCTGCACAGAAGTACTCCAGGTCCAAACCAGGGATCGAACCCAGGACCCTTCTAGCTGTGAGGCGTTGGTGCTAACCACTGAGCCATCGTGCTGCCCAAAGCTGCCCATCATCAGTGTGTGAATGTCTGTAAGTGTAAAGTGTTTTGGGCTCCAGAGGGAGTTGATAAGGTGCTCTATAAGTTCAGTCCATTTTACCATTTTAACAGTGAGATGGAACATTTTAAAAATCCAGAAACTTACATTGTACAAATTATACAAATTTTATGCATTTTGCAGAGAGAAATAAGTGCTTCATCCCTCTGACAAACAAGACAAAGCCCTGGTTGGAGCACAGCAGTCAGACTTTTCTGTAGCTGAGGTTTGCACGTCAGGAGGAAGTTTGGTCAGGAAGACCAAGATCAAGAATTGTTTATTGTCATTCAAACACAACACCAAGATGTAATGCAGAAYGAAATTTGCAGTTTTGAACATCCGTCTGGAGAAACACACACACACACACACGACAGACATGGGGGGATGAATGTCCAGGGCCCTGCACAACGACGTGCAGTTTGGAACACACATCTAGTGAAGATGAGTTARAAAAAAAGAGCTTTGATTTTATGTTCGAATGGTCCACTCCTCTGTGCAGATCATCTGTCAATCATTAAGATTTTGAGGCTGTCACATGGCAACTCTGACTTTCAGCTCCCTCATAGGTTTTCAATGGGACTAAGATCTGGAGCCTGACTAGACCACAAGCAGCACTAATCAGAGCCAGGCTGGGGGCGGGGCAAATGACCGGGCCCTTTACACCAAATAATAAATCTCATGATAACATTTTATACAACATACACCTGCCTGCATCAGCAGGGCTTCCAGCACCACAGAGTGACTGTGTTGTTGTGAAGTTCATCAAACAGACATGAAGTGTGACAAACCAAGAGAGAAAAAAAACATTCAGCTATAAAACAACACAAATTCAAAACAGTTCAGCACCACGGAGAGTGGTCGGGTCATTTTGACACCAGCTTTTCAGAACCTGTATCAACAGTGGTGGACAAAGTACTCAAATCTAGTACTTGAGTAAAAGTATTGATACTTAGGGTCAAATCTACTCAGCTACAAGTGAAAGGTACTCCGTCAAAAATCTACTAAAGTTAAAGTCACAGTTTGTTGTGTTGAGGACACGTGTTGTGTCCTCAGTGTTGACGGTATAAAAGTGTTGCACCTTTGTAGTTTACACTAAAAATTAAATTTCATCCATCCTTTTTCTTCTCCTTTATGTCCTTATTGGAAGTAGAAGCTGTGGACATAACTGACCGCTTTTCTTTCTCAGCGTAAGCTCATGAAATCCTTCAACCCCTTCATTACCTTTGTTTCTGTTAAGTGTCCACCCTCACCCTGGATTTACACTACATGCGGCTCCGCTGCGCTGCGGTGCACAGTTCACTGCCTCCACTCAGCTCTGCTCMGGTGTGACACAGAGGAGGGAGGAGATCACATGATAAATCCAGTGATAAGTGTGGAAGTCAGAGCAAAAAATAATTAATTCTGTGAAAGACAAACTCCAAACAGCTGAAAACATTGATATAAAAGCTTTTGGTTTCTATGGTTGAAACTGTCTCGCTGTTGTCTTTTTGAAACTTCTGATTTCAAAATAAAATCCACGTGTATCATGTGCATACACATATGCTTCATGCTACATGTTTCCATCTGCTTCCCAAACAGAACCATACATTCTGACAGCATTTGTGCAGAAATATATCTATATATTTATTAATGTAGCTGCAATTTTGACATTATTCTGACAAATTAGTCCACCTTATGGCATCTTATTTTGAAAATACGGATGTTTTGTTTGTTCCTTTTCCTGTTGGTGCAACGTGATCTTTGTAGATTGACTCCAAAGCAGGTCCGGCRTCCGGCAAAAATAGGATCTGTTCTAATTTTGCCAGATCGCCGTACGCTCCTCGTCGCCCTGCGTCACCGTGCACCGCCGTGCGCAGCCAGTGTAAACACTCATTTGATTTGATTTATTTATTTAACAGGAAAAGATCACCAAAAATCAAGCCTGACTCAGCATAATTGCTGTTTTACAGCAGGTTCCTGTTCTGCAGCACATAAAACACTCAGAATTACAGCATCACAATCNATAGATTGAAAAAAACTGTGGGAAAAAATTCTGGGGTGACAATGCAGATTGGACCGTTTTTGTGGGAAAATTCAAAAGTTTTCACGATTCAGTATGAATGTGCCAACACWATATTCTCCAATACAGGAGGCTTATTTATCTAGCAAGGCTCTCTGSCAAAATAAGTTTCAATTCTCATGACATTTATGACAGTGTCTATCTATTTTTTATTATGAGTTACTTAAGCAGTTTTCTTGCCAGCACATGACTTTGCTGTTTCCCTTGTTTTCTAAACTGCAACAGAACTAATTAAACTAAAGAAAAGAAGCTTAACATATCTTAACGACAATGTCACAAGTGCTGCCTAAAGCCATGTTTTCTAGCTGCTGGTTCTCTAACATGTTAATTCACCACTATGGTCATCTCTAACCTTCTGGAAAAACCTTCTGTATAAACTGAGTACTTTTCTTAATCAAAACCTCTGAGAAAAACTCCACCCAGCAGCAGGTATTTACTTCTGCTTGAATAACATGTCACAGGCCCTGTCTCCAAAAGTGCCACTGGTAGCAACGGTTTTGACATCCCTTGTGGATAATATATTTTCATCATTCCCTGTACTCATCTTTGCTTGCATGACGTCAAACTTAGAGATTAGTATTTGCTCACACAGTATTCACTGTCGTAACATAGGCTCTGTTACTCAGGTTGACTGCTGGCGAGACAGCACCTGTCAGACAGTAAATCACATTGTCAGCTGATGATCAGTCTGATGCTTATTCACCTATTTTTTATATGCTATGAATGCTCATGTTATTTAATATTTTCATTTCCCATCTCTCCTTTTTTTGTTTGTTTCTCCCTTGACCATGTGTTTATGTCATTCTTTTCTCCTAGACCGGCCAACTTATTGTTGAACAGGAGCAGTGCGGAGGTTCCATCGATGGGGACGATGGGTGACTGGATGGATGCAATGAGGACCTTRCCTTGTAAAGAGGCCTTCTCTGGGGTCAGCTACAGCTCCTGTGACACCCTGGCCAAGACCTCTACAGAGTAAGACAACAACATGGACAGACACACAAAATAGGATATCTTTTCAGGACTTTTGCAACACTTTCAGGGTTGTGTGCATGAACAGAATTCAATGTTAAGACATTAAAAGAAAAAAATAACTGAATGAAATAAGAGAGAACAGCAGCATATTGAGGGAAATAAAGTTGACTGGATATTTGACAAGATAAAAGTTTGGAGAGGGAAGCCTTTGAAAGAGAAAATGAAGGCATAGCTGTCAAACAAGTATACAAAGTGATGACATTTTATTTTTTGCTGCAAAGTTTTAAAATGCAAAAACGAAAGAAAGGTCGCCAGGAAGTTTGAGAGCCAAGCTTAAATAAACTGACAAACAAATAATGTTCTGGAAAAGTGTATCATCATCCTGCCCACATTTAGTATAGTATACTAAACTGAGAGGTTCACTGATATAAATAAATAAATAAATAAATAAATTATGGACTTTATATTATTGTGTTCTCTGTAATATTGTCTCTGTTTCAGCCTAGCCCCTCTTATGCCCCACAACAGCAACAGCTTCTAATTCTTAATATTGAAAAACATTTAGTGTTAATTTATATTGCCTTATTTATTGCACTGCATTCTCTATTGTCCTGCCTAAGTGTATATACGATAAGTTTTGAAGTGAGGGTGGAACTCTACAATCAGTAGCGGAGAAATGCACCTTAGACAAATTGCAACAGAATAACCTTACAAAAAAATGCATTGGTCTCCAATGGCTTTCCTGTGGGTTTATGCTAAATTAAATCAGTGCAGTAATAATCCACTGAAGGCTCTGTCTGAGACGCCCCACCTCAGCTACAAAAGGCTAACAGCTTTTCCTCACTCTGTATTGCTCAATATGGATTGCTGCATTGATTTTGTTGGTCTTAATCTAGTCCTTGATATTCAGCACAAGGAGACTTGGCAAAGCTCTGACCTCACATGAACAGTTATACTTTGGAACAGCATGCTGACTCATCTGTTGGAGTAATTGATTAATCCTTTTTTTTTTTTTTTGAGAATAGCATAGACTGACGAGGAAATACTGCCTTGTGTCGATTATTTGCTGCATCTGCACAGAGTGCATGCAAAGTTCATTTCAGATGTTTTATTGGGAATGTGATGAACTTGACCGAAAGTGCTAGACACAGGAATATAAATTGTAGTTTTTTTTTCACAATGAAATGCTTAAGAGAGCAATACAATTTGAGGTAGAGTTGATTTAATGGTTTTAGGCTTATCTGTACGTCAAGGCCCTTCTATCAAATGTTCCTGTAGGAGAAACTCWAACCTTGAACTTGGAGAATGGACTGATAGCCACAGTGGACTCCAACTTAAGCATAGCATTAGCATTTCAAACTCTTTTAGAAAAATAATAAAAAACTAATAAAATTTACGAAAGAAGAAATAAATAAATAAAACCACAACCGTGTGCAATAGAATTCATTCTGGATAAGGCTATCGAGCTGGACTTTTGTTGGGATGGATAAATTTCTTAACACATAAGTGATACCAATGAAAATAAACAACTACAAGCAAACATGGATTTTAAGCAGCAACCAAGAAATAATAATCAAATGTTTTACTTCATGAAAAATATTCAAAAAAGTTTTTTTTTTTGTTTTTCTGTTTTGTTTTGTTTTGTTTTGTTTTTCAGCTCCTCCCCTTTGCAGGGTTGCCACAACAAGCAAACTAACATGAAAGATCTGGCAACCGTTTTATGCCAGTTGGCAAAATTTTAAGACAAAAAAAATAACCACAGATAATGAAGTCTGTAAACAATACGTCCAGTACAGACTACCTTCCTGTTCCAATTTCGTTAGAACAATCATCCCATTMTATTCAATATGTACTAGTTTTGATGATTTCCTGTTATATTGTGTTAATGTTACTGGGCCTGGCTGTTTCTCAGTAGAGTGGTTCTGACGGAGGTCCACATCACTCCAGCCACATGCCCAGAATGGGAGCCATCCATGGGAATCACCACCCTCTAACACCTAGTGCCTCTCCATCCTACTCAGGCTGGATGGTGGGTTGAGGACCAAAGATTGTGTCAGTCTGTGTCTCTCTGAGACAAAAAGCTTAGATTAGAGCTGCTGCTGGGCTTTTACTCACAAAACGTAACCTAATAATTGCTGAATGTCTCATAGTAAACAGTTCTCTCTGCAACTCCACTGCTTTTACTAATGCAAAACCAGTTTGTTTTCTTGTTTGTTTGTTTGTTTGTTTGTTTTTTTTCAGAAAAGGTTGACTTTTAACAGATAACACTTTGCAATTATTTTGGTCTCAGCTATGCTTTGTTTATATTGGTATATGTTGAATTTTCTTAACCAAGTTATATCAAGTCCACTCAGCCGAGTTGCGTAAATTTGACAAGGTTTATACAAACAATACATATACAGTACATCTCTTTACATTTACACAAGTGGAACCACTTGACATAAATCGGTTTGGTAAATTCAACAAATTATAATTTTTTTGAGTTGAAAATGGTGTAGATAGAAAATAGACATGGCTCAATTGGTACGCAACTAATTATTTTAGGCTTCTAACAATTGCATTGTCAGTATTGTTTTCTAAACAATTGATATTTTCTGAATGCATGTACCATAAAAATTGTAATATAACTTGTAAAATAGTTAACAAGAAACATCATGTTGTAGACATATTCCAGTGCAGCCTATCCACTCTTTTACACTCAACACTATGGAAGAAATCCAAAAAACTAGGGAATTTCTGCACCGAGCCCATTGCATGCCATCTTTTCCCTTTTCTGACAAGGTCATAATGGCAGCTGTCAGTGTTGCCTTATGGGAAATGCAGTGTTGTTTTGAATGACAGCTTCACACCACAGTTAAGAGAGTAGCACGGGGAGCATGTCATTAAATGTCAAACAAGTGTCACATTCGCCATCACTAACACATATTTTTACCCCTCATTTTTCCTCTGTCTGATTGTGTCCTTTTTTTTCTCCCTCTTCTTCAAACACCAGGGATCTGAAAAAGGTTGGCGTGACTGTTGTAGGACCACAGAAGAAGATAGTGAGCAGCTTGAAAGCCCTAGATTCCCATACCAAGAATGGTCCGGTACCTGTTTAAAAATAATACAGTACATCAACAAATGAGAACCACCAGAGACTGTTCAGCTGCTCTGTGTTGACATGTTAACACAGTGGCTGCAAATTTGAACTACATGGCAATACAAAGGTGAATAAGATACCATTCATGTGATGGTTTTCATCAGTTGTATTGAACGACAAAAAATGGAAAAGGGTTCAGCACAGACCTGCCAGTATCTTAACTGGCTGACTCGACCCTCTTCCTCCATGCCCAAGTTGAGCTGCCTTACAGACTAATAGAGGAGTAGAAAAACAATGAGGATCAATACGAAGGTCAAAGAGACATGATCAGGAATACAAACGTGGTCTCAACACAAAGCTGGAGCTCTCCATGATCACGGCCCTGCCACAGAACACCAAACTAGCAGCCTGTGGAAAGAGGCAGTGAAATAGCTGAGATGCTTTTTGAAGAGCGTGGCAAATGGCTACAGCTGACCCGGATGTGGACCTGTCCCAGATCGGGGAAGTTTGAGGCTTGGGAATGCATTGCATCTACCTACATTTAATGTCTCTGTCGGAGAACTGAGTCGGACACATCTAGATGCTAACCGARCCATTTTACTTTGTAGCTCTAACCTAAAGCATTTGCATTGATTAAAAAATACCACATGAAAGCAATAACATAATCCATCAAGAACTTTTATTGTACTGAAATTATGGGTCTGTCACATGTGTAATGTACTGAATGCTGTGCTTGAAAGTACAGCAACCAATATACACACATTTTTCTTTATGGTGACATCTATGTTCTATGTGCTGATATGTTCAGTCCAATCCCCTACCACCCTATGCCCTTTGTGTGGAATCTCAGGATGTGCACACTGTTGTCTCCAACAAGAGGAAACTAACAGAGAACCAGGAGTGCAGGTTAGAAAAGACATGATGGAAGAAATTGAATCTCTCAATGATGGCGATGAGGATCTGAGTTAGATGAAGCAGTCAGTCTTTTTTTGTCAAATGCTTTTGCAGAAATGTTTGAAAAGTAAGTTTAAGCTTGAGTTTCTTTAGGAAAGACAAGTTTGCACCGTCAGTCCCTATCAACGGCAGTTTTGTTTTGCAAGATCCGTTAAAAAAATGTTTATTTTGAAGTCAGTTTTTAATACTATTTACAAAAGCCATGTGAGATCCTATTTTTATTTTTTATTCAAAATTAGGTTAAATAGCTTGGTTTAGTCTAAAGGTAGTTTTCTTTTTTTAAAACAAACAAATATTTTTG